CATAACAAATTAATAATGGTATTGCGTTATAATTTTCATTATTTACTAAAGATAGATAAATATTGAGAACCTGTCTCACGTCTTAGTGTTATCCATTATATTCATTTTATGGTCAAATAAAGATTTAAAATGCAACTCATTGCAATAAAATGGATCTCTCTAACTCCAATTTTATAGTAAAAAAAAAAAGAATCCTACAATAGTTTTGGACATTTTGATTATATTGAGAGAAAAAAAATCTATGACCATCATAATGGGCTCTTGTGTTTTTATGAAACCAAAATGAAATATGACCCTCCATTTCTGCTTTCTCACTACACATGCTTTCGTTATTCCAAAGGTTTTTTTTTTTTGAAACAATCTCAAATTTCATATTAGTTTAAATCATTTCCAAAGTCTCACCACATGGTTACAATTAAAAAAAAGGAAAATCACAAAAATCCCCAAAATGAGACTTTCTAGACAACCTAACCCCAACAAAGTTTTTTTTAACAAATTTTACCCCAAATTGAGCTTTTCTAGCAAATACTCCCTTAAGTAAAAAAGTCATATTTTGTTGACGAAAATGCCTATAGTGTTGGACTGCCCCATTTTGTGTTGGACTGCATAGACCGCCCCTATTTTATGTCGGACCGCATGCTTTCTAGAAGCCCAAAGTGTCAGACCGCCCCCATTTTGTGCCAGACCACAGGCCTAAAGTGTCGGATCGCCCCTATTTTGTGCCGGACCCAGTGTATCAAAAATCGCTAGGCAGGTCCTAGGCGGCCTGGAGGCGGGCGCCCAGAACCTGGGTGGCTGCCCAGTTGAAAAAAATAAAAATCCCAATATACCATATTCCAACAATCCAACCTAAAAAAAAAAAAAAAAAAAAAAAAACGAAGTACGAGAAGAGAATTTGGTAATCCATATTGTTAAAACAGTAAACTGTAAAACCATACAAGTGATATAAAAGTCAACACCGAGCACAACAGAAATATACAGAAATTTAGAAAATATACAGTCTAACAAAAGTCAACACTCATGGCTCAACATAATTTACACAACAGTCAATAGACTCAACACAACAGTCAACAGACTCAACACTTAGCACCAAGAGGCAAGGGTCTTCAATCATCATCATCAGAAGGAATATCAATAGCGCAAGCCTCATCATATGCATCAGAGTTGAGGCCATCATCATCAGAGTCATCTCCCTCTTCAATATAACGCTCATCCTCCTCTGTTTCTTCTGAATCTGCCTCTTCCTCCTCTTCTTCTACCTTCCTCTTACTAGTATGTGTAGTCTATGCAGATGAGGCCCTAGGAGTCTTGGTTGCTGTACCCTTCTTTTTGTGCTTTTTTGAACTCAAATATTGTATAATTTCCTCCTTGGTAGCCTCAGGAACATTTTTACACAGGGCAACATCCCCCGTAATACCGGCAAGGTGTTTTTTAAACTGGTAAATACCCCCATTAGTATCCTTTCCACAATAATTACATTTAATACATTTTTTATCACTTGGATTCGGGATTTAACCATTCTTCCAATTTGGATCACCACTCTGACGACTAGAAGCTGGAGAAGATACTTCCATAGAACAAGGCTTATTTTCATCCTTTTCTGGTTATTCAAAATTCAAAAGATGTCTAATCTCATCTCGAACTGCTTTAGGAACTTTTGTACAAGAAGCAATATTACCTCTAACATCAGCAAGATGTTTTTTGAATCGGCTAATACCCCCATTGGTATATTTTTCACAAAAATTACTTCTTATATAATTTTTATCATTTGGTTTTGGGTTATATTCATACTTCCAACCCGGATCACTTTTTCTAGGAGTAGTAGAAATAGATCTATGACAAGGATTTTGTTTTTGTTTTTATTTTACATAACTTAAAAATTGCTTAATCTCCTTTCTAACAACTGCGGGAACATTTTTACAAGGGACAACATCCCCCTTAATACCGACAAAATGTTTCTTAAACCGGTTTATGCCTCCTTTTGTCTATTTTTCACAAAAATTGCATCCAACACAATTTTTGTTATTTGGATTCGGGTTGTATCCATATTTCCAACCCGGATCTCCACTCCGACTAACTCCTGAAGAAGACATCACAAAATAAAGCAAGCAATCTAAAAAATGCACTTACTTAGGGTGCTTGAACTCCAAACTTTGAGAAACACTTAGATGATCCGATGATCGATCCAATGAAATGTAGTTTTTTGAAGGTTTTTTTTAATCTAAAGGGGCTTCTTGTGGGTTTAGGGTTCAAATGAACCTAAAAGCCATCATTCTTAACCTTTAAATCTAAATCTTAAATATAACAAAATGGAAAAAAAAAAAAAAAATCATTTTTTCTGCCTCTGAGCGGGGCGCAGGCCCTGGGTAGCAGCCTAGGTCGGTTCCGTACCGCCCAGGGACGGACCGCTCAGTTTTACCTCCTAGGCTTTGGCGATGCACCCAGGCCTTCTGGACCGCTTAGGCGCTGGGCGGTCCGCTTTTTGAAACTATGGTCGGACCGCATGCCTAAAGTGTCGGACTGCCCCTATTTTGTGCTGGACCGCATGCTTTTCAGAAGCAAGTGCCGATCGCCCCCATTTTGTGCTAGACCGCCCCCATTTTGTGCCGGACCGCATGCCCAAAGTGCCGGATTGCCGCTATTTTGTGTCGGACTGCATGCTTTCCAGAAGCAAAATGCCGGACCTCCCCTATTTTTTGCTGGACCACATGCTTTCCAGAAGGTATTTTGGTCTTCATTTTACCTTTTTTATGACTTGGAGGGGGGTATTTGCTAAGAAAGTTAAATTTGGTGTGAAAAGTGAGAAAAAAAGTTGGGTTTGGGGTAAGTTGCTTAGGAAGTCTATTCTTGGGGGTTTGTAATTTTCCCTTGAAAAAACAAATTCTCTCCACTAGCAATCAAAAAGTATATGTTTCCAAATAAATAGATCTAAGGTGTAATAATCAATATGGACAAAAATATAGAATTTAGAAATATGAATTTGCAATCACTTTTTAATGAAATTAGGAAAATAAATAAATTTCAATGAATTGTCCATGCAGTAAAGAATTTTAAAGAATTTAATTATAAAAAAATTAATTTTAATGAATTCTTTTAAAATTTAAAAAATTCAATCAAAGAATTTTAAAGTATTTGAAAATCGCTATTTTTTAAAAAATTCTTTTTAATTTTTTTTTTCAAAAACTACTATTTTCCTAATGTCAATTTTAATTCAATGATAGTAGTCTTACATTTTAATTTTTGCTAATGTCAAAACTGCTCAAAACTCTATCTCACATTTTAATTCATCTCTATTCATTTCGTAAAGTGAAGAAGATGGAGAAATGTCTCAGATCATGGAGTGAAAGGAGCCAAAGGCTCTTTTAAAGTGCTTAAGGCTCACGTGGTTGGTATCACTTCCACTTCAGCAGCACACACGCATGAGTGGTTAGGGCCAATTAATGGATGGGCCCCACTTCAAAAATATACTATAAAATATGGGGTGGGCTCTTCCGCCTCTCTTTTTAAACAAATTTAAAAATTGTATGTTCGAAACACTGCCCCCTTAAAATCGTATTTAAAAAATGCATGTATGAAAATTCCCCCTATCAAAGCAGTTCAGGTCAGAACCATCCGGTTTTGCTCTGATAGATCCGATCGGTTTCTGAAAGAACTGGCTGGTTCTGTCAGTGAGCCGGCCGGTTCATGTGGGGGGCTTGGCCGGTTCCCGATATATGACAGAAATCGGACCGGCTTCGATGATTCCCGATTCATATTATCGAATTTTCAAACCTGTGTTTGACTGAAGTTGTTTTGAATATTGAAAATTCAAAAATATGCCCCAACTACTTATTTTGGGTGATCTTTTGAGCTCGACAATTTGTTGTGGCTGATCAGGCCAAGCAACTACTACCTGCCTCTAGGACACGGTTTCTATGAGTCCATGTAGAGTCAAAAAAAATATTTTTGAGATGGATTTTTGGACTTAATTTTTAAGGACATGTAATCTCTTACATGGAGATCATGACCGAAAAAATAAATAAAATTTGAAAATTAGAAATAGAAATTCTATTAAGAAAACATTTGAAGTGATAGTTTCAATTGTTTTTAGATGGACCACCTATTTGCATCCATCTTTAAGATGAATGCTTTATACCTCAAGGACCGCAAATGTAGAAATGCAGTCCCCACTGCATGAAACCATTTTCCTTTACTTTATATTTACTCATATTGAGCTTGCTTTTGTAGCTTTTATTTTAAGCATGCATATACCAAGTGAAGCGCATGCATGTTGAATTTTTTTTCTTTTTAAACATGCATACGGATTTGCAAGAGTTGATTGAATACATGCATTTTGGTTTCTGACGTTTTGATGCACGCCAAAAGTTTGCAATAGTGTTTTGAATGCTGAAACTCAATGGAATGATGAACTCTTAATACCTCATGTATGTTGTCAATAGTGTACAGTTGTCTCACATTTTTCCTTTATATTTAAGTGAGTTGTTTACAGAACAATGGTCCTTAATATTTACTAGGTACGAATATTGTGCCACTTTGAATCAAGAATTTTTAGAATATCATTCTTAGGTTTTCATCTAAACTTTCAGGACCATATAAATTAGCGAATGAGACCCAAGGATGTTCTTAAATGTCATCATATAAAGATTGGACCCGATCTATAAGGAGCATATGTTCTAAATATCTGGTGAAAAAAGAAGGTTTGAACAATGGTTACACATGGATGAACTAAACTGTTAAAATAAAATTCTCCCTTATATTATGTACATGTTCACACCCACGTATTTACACTCACTGTTTGAAATGTCATAATGTAACTCGATAGATGCTTATGCTATTATTTCTGAATTTTAAGAATCATGCAGCAAATAACAACCCAATAAATGAAAATCGTGGGAATATGAAGAGCATGTTTTTTGTTCTTGCATAATGCATAAAAAACATGCCTACAATTACAAAATATGAAAATGCCAAATAGATAACTTTTATAAATTGCATTTCAGGTTCTTATTCCTATAGCAGATGGTTCAGAGGAGATGGAAGCTGTAATGATGATTGATGTTTTAAGGAGGGCAAAGGTTAATGTGGTTGTTGCGTCAGTGGAAAAATATATGGAGGTTGTGGCATCTAGAAATGTGAAAATTGTTGCTGATATGCTTATTAGTGATGCTGCTAAGTCAACATACGATTTGATTCTTCTTCCAGTGAGTAAACTAAACCTGAAGGCTGGTTTTGATATCTATTACAATTAATATTTGTCTTTTGTTGTATCTATAGTTATCCTAGTTATTCGTATAACATAATAAATGAGCATAAAATTATATGAAAGTCAGCTCTTACAGTAAAATAGTGCCCACTAGACATCTACTTTTACTCGTCTAATTGTGTAAAATCAGATGTCTGTGAACAGTCATTCTCCTTATGACAAGATGTACGTTATACTTCCGTCTATTACAGTTCTGCTTAGTTCTCTGGTCTTTACATAGATAGGTTAACTGGAACTTATAGAGCTTGGAGATGTGTGTAAATCTTGAGGTGTAAGATGACATACTGGGAAGGAATGAGGTTGACAGGAAGTCTGTTTTATGCTTTAGTATGTGTCTGGATAATAGTTGATTTCTTTGGAAAAATGAGAAACAAAAAGTAGTGATCATAACCATCTGCTAGAACAGAATACATGGTGTGGCTTACATATTATGTGAAATAAGTCGGTGAAAGGCTTGATTCAGGTTTGAGTTATAGATCTAAATTAGTTGATGTATTGTAATGATATGGTTACTTTTCAAATCTCATTTATTATGAAATGAACAATGAAACATATCATTAAATTTAACGGTATCTCTAGATAATCTTGGCTCCATAAGGGTGAGAGGTATCATTTGAGATTCCAGTTGCAGTTCAGGAATTTTTGTCCTCTTCTATTTGTATTTGTGATGTGATTGCTGCTGAGTCTAGGGTTCTTTTTGTTGGGTTAAGGACTTTCACTTTGGTAAACACGTTCACTTCTTTCTCTAGGATCCTTAGTGTTGGAGGTTCCCTTTAGTGCTGTTAGGTGGGTTAAGGAGAGTACTTGTGAGGCAATAGACGAAGGAAATATCTTTCCACCGCATGATAACTTGAATTCCTCTTTCCACCTTACTTATTGAGAGCCAACTTAGTGCATGGGTTCTTCAAGGAGTGCCCCAGTGTCATGACCCTCATTCACGGGGGAGATGGTTTCAGATCCCATTTCTTTTCTGGTTTACAGCTGGGTCCTTTCACCACCTTCCTCTCCTCTATATACTAAACTCAGATGTTCATGTCACTGTATGTCTATAATGCACATTTGCGTAGAACTTTGTTGCAAACCACTCTTCTTAAGTCTTCTTATGTGAACGGTTAACAATTAAAGAGAATGAAAAATGTAACTGGCATTACATCAGAGACATGGTAATAGCTGAAACTGAATAGACTTTTTTTTAATGAATCCTTTTTTTGTTTGGTTGATTGCAGTGAGAATATGACACTGCTCCCCCATAATTGGCATGGTTTGGGTGCTTGCGCCAAAACCCTTGAATTTAGGTTCTTTCACTTGAAATAATCTTGCTAGGAACTGGTTGCCAGACTTGGTCCTCTGTTCCAGCTTTGCCACAATGCATTGAAGATCTGCGGTAAAGGGCGCTTCCCTCTATAATATGAAAAAAAATCTTTTCCAGTTGTCAGAGAAGAGTGCTACATTTTAGCTGGTTCATTGTGCTGTTAAGCTTGACGTTTCAGACCTTAATGCTTAAAGTTTCGAATAAGATAAAAAATAAGCCAATTTTATTTTTTGAAAAGTGGGATAATTGCTTCATTCTAACTTCGTGGATGCCAAACTTAGTAGGGAGGAGCTAAGGGAGCTGAACGACTGCACAAGTCTAGTATTTTAAAGAAACTGCTCAACGAGCAACTTTTAGCAGGACGAGCATATGGGGAAACGTGCTCAGCATCAGATGGAGTTTTACATAGACATGGCTTGCTTGAGGTACCAAAGTAGTTAAAAGGAATATCAATCAAAACATTGGAGAAAAGTATCAGTTGCCTTTTGAGTACTGATATTGTTACGCCAAAGTATAATTTGTATTCTCGCTCTTTCTTTCTTTTACTCTTCGTTATTCAATGGAAACAGGGTAAGAAGGCTGCTTCACATCGCTCGTTATCTGCCAATATCACCGATGCATCTGCCAAAGGAGGGGTAGGAGTTGTAATAGATGGGAAGTTGATTACAAGCAGGGGCACCGGAGCAACAATGGACCTTGCACTGGCTATTGTGAGCAAGTTATTTGGTCATGCAAGGGCAAGGAGTGTGGCAGCAGGCCTTGTTTTCGAATACCCAAAAGCAAAGATGAGCTAGCACAAGGTCTGCCATAGACATAGAATCTGATTACGACACATGAAAGTGCATGTGCAATCTTTGTTCAGGTCTAGAGCTCCTAATTGACTATGTGAATCATTTAGGATGCCTCATGGAATGTTGGTCTCTCTTCAACAAGAACAAAGATCAAGAACAATTTTGGTAGGTTTTGTATATTATTAACATAGGCAGCTGCAAATATATGAGCATAAACAATCACTATTTGACTTGTGATTATAGTCCTTGGCTCATTTTTTTTAATTATTTTTATGTAAAACTGCTAGTCAATCCCATAATTATTATTGAATGTGAAAAAGGCATTCGAACTGCAATCCAGCTTTTGATGCGTTGTAGTTTGACAAGCTATTCCGCCAATTGAGAGCATACCGGAGGAATGTTTTCTTGGAAAAGCTTTCAAGTTACTCATCTACTACATCAACTGCAAACGCAAGTTTTCCTTGCAGGGCTTTCAATTAACATAATCTAAACGCATACATGCCTCCCTTCTGTTGAAAAATTTCGTGGTTTGTAAAATCACGCTAGTTGTCCACAATTTGGGCTTTTTAAGGAGGTTTTGATGAGAACTGCAGTTAAAAATAGCTCCCAATTCAACAAAAATAAATAATATTTATAAATCTAAATCAAATTCAGGTAACTTAGCATCCAAACAGTTTAAACGATACTCGAATCACATTGGATAAACTTTGTTTCACTGGCCATGGCTAAGCCAAAACATATTCTTTCCCCAAAACCTCAGAGAGAGAGAGAGAGAGAGAGAGAGAGAGAGAGAGAGAGAAGAC